TGACCCAGAAGACGATGACCAGGAAATCAGAGATAAGACGCTGCCCAGGTGGCAGGTCTGGCTTGCTGCGGAGCAGTCCCGGGACCAGAGGCACTGGCGGCCGTGGCGCCCGGATAAGTCCAAGAAGCAAACGGAGGAAGACTGTGAGGACCCGGAGAGGCAGGCAAGTACCCCAGCCCAGAAGGGACGCCAGCTGCAGGCTGTTTGCCTCCTCCGCATCCCCACTGGGTTTGGGGGAGTCAAAAGAAGGCTGCTGGGCGCTCCGCACTGGTCCGGCTTAGGAGATGCCAGCCTGCTAATTCCCTCTTACCGAAAACCAGCGCAGGATTCTGTTGGCTGCTGGTGATGTGGACCGTTGACCAGACAGTTCCTGTCCTCAGATAGGAGGGTCGGCTCTCTGGGTCACCCCTCTGGAGATCGTCATCCAGGTTATTCAGTTACTTTTTCACGTGGAAGTTAGAGGGTCAGGGTTTAAAAATGCAGAATTACTGTGCTAGATTCTTGAATCGTGTCCACAATCCCCATCCTACTCTTACATCCTCAGAAATGGAGCAGATAGAAATGGCTCCAGAAGACGCAGGACTGGATGTTGAGGCCATACGGGACAGTCTTGCTGGGGAAGGAACTGGCATTTGTAACCCGTGCACCGGGCACCCGCTTACACGAGTTACCTTATTCACTGTTACTACATGATCTGGTACACGCTACTGTGTGTCTGGTGGCCAGCAGCTCAGGAAGTTTTACATTAAAATAAAGAGATTCTATTTTGATACCTGGAATTGATCCAGTTTCACTAGCTAGCCAACTATGTTGCTTGACATGTGACATGTGACAGGTACAGACGGGTTTTGATAGGAGTGAGGCTTGCGAGCTTTGACGTGGTTGGTTGTCTGTGACCCTCCTTACAGGTTACGTGCCTTCAGGATGGGGGTTTTTGTCTGTTTTCTTCACTGCCTGGACCATGCTTATCCTTGACATAAGATCAGTTAATATTCCTGGATGTTGAATGAATATTTGTTTGATGCCAGAGCTTCCGTTCTAGGCAGAGTGATCAGCATGAATGAAGGCCTGAGTATCTGGAATGTTTGAGTGGTGTAGCCAGACAGGAATTCGGGCAGGAGACTGAGGAACAGGGGAAGAGGTGAACTCTGGGGCAGGAAGGAGGGGCCAACTTCCAGGGACATCTCCGCTCACTGGGATGCTCCGTGAGGGCGCTGTCATGAGGTCAGTCTGCTGTCGCGAGGTCAGCAACCTCTTTCCTGGCTGAAGCTGAATGTTTAGGGAAGAGTGGGGTCCTTCTGTGGTGTTTGAGGGTTTTAAAGTTCACGTCAACCTTCCAGAAGCTAATTCTCAAGGCTCAGAATTTCAGCAGCTTCCTGGAAGCTCATTGCTGAAGCAAGCTACTGCTGTGAGCAGTTTCTTGTCACCTAGCTTTTTCTGTACTCAAAGCCTATAGGAGAAAAGATTTCCGATTAATTGATGGTTTTGATTAGTTGAATCCCAGGTCGTCCCTGTTTGATGAGAGCCACAAAGACCAATCAGATCAGCAAGACCTTGAGGAAAAGGGTAGTTTCCGTGGCCTTACATGTTCAAGTTATTACATGCAATCAGCTACGAGCATTTACAGTTATTATTAGGCTCTGATAATTGCTCTTAACATGGTCCATTGCCCCTGTAGTATCCTTCTTCCCTAGGTGCTATTTGTTTTTGAGCAGATTTTTCATTGCCCAAAGCAATTTTGTACAAAGAAACCACAAACTAGTAAAGTTCTATTCTTCTATCTTGAAATAAAAACATTTTACAATTATAACATATCAAAGTAACTACAAAAGCAATTATGTGTGCTTCCAAAGTGAATATGATTCTGGATTCCATTAGGATGCTTTGAATGTTTTTGGCTTGAGCCTGCTCCCAGTCTCTCAGTCCGCCCTCCTCCTGCGAATCCCCAGGACGTGTGAGAAGGCTAATAGCAGTGCAGGGCTCCCAACAATTATCCTGCAGCTCTCTGGGAGGCTTCTAGCTTTTATGCATCTTGCAGGAAACCTATTAGCTCCCTTCTATCTGTTGAAAATTTAATTTGAATAATATTGAAGCATTCCCTTCTCCTTTGAAAAGAATTGTGGAACAAATTGTGAAGGCATTTTTGTTTGCTTCAGTAAATCAATAAGCTGAGCTCCCAAATAGGTCACTTTATTTTGTCTTTATTCCAGGTGTTGTTTGATGATATTGGACAATCCCTGATCCGACTTTCCAGCCCAGAGCTTCAGTTTCAGCTGATCGCGGCCTTTCTGCAGTTCTTGGGTGTGCCTTCTGAGTTTGGCCCTCCCGCCTCCTGTCTCTATCTGGCCATGGATGAGAACAGCATCTTCGATCATGGACTTTGTGATGAAAAGCCATTGACTTGTCTCAACCTGTCATATTCTGGTGTCAGCTGTGTTGGCCGCACAGACAAGTTGGGCTGCCGGCGCTGGACCAGGGGTCACAACCGAGAGGGCGAGGAGTTCATCCGTAACATCTTCCACCTTGTGATGCCTTCGTTTTCAGGCAAGGAGAAGTCGCAGCTCTGCTTCTCCTGGTTACAATACGAGATGGCCAAGGTAACCCCAGCCGCCTCGTCCCTGTGTGGGGACTTCAGTTTGCGTCCGTGTTTTTAAATGGAACCGCAGGCTCTTGGTGTTCTTCAGGGTACTGGGCCACAGCACCACCTTCTTTGGGGACCCTAAAGGCACCTGGTGTGTGGCTGCCTGGCCCGAGGGGCCTCCGTGAAGAGGAGGAAAGCAGGAGTGAGTTCAGCTCTTAAGTGACTGGAGTGTTTATTATGTTGATTTTTGTATTACCAGATGTCTGTGATTATATGAGCAGTTAGTGGTGAGAACCGAGCTTAAGCTTAAGCAGGGTTAGAGGACTTAGGGCTTATTAAAATATTAGATAAAACAAGCTACTCACCCTGCTCTTTATAGCTATCTGCTGGAAATTCATCTATAATAGGATTGACTCTTCTGCCCTCTGCTGGCCACCAGTTAGTATTGGCTCTTAACACCCCAAATTCTGATACTTTGGTAGCATAACCAAGTTGTATTATTAAAATAGTGTCTGATAAAATTTGGTGGCCACCTTTCTCTGGAGAAGAACGTTTGGAGTACATAAGCCTTGTTTATAGAAGTTTCAGCTGGAAACCCAGATGTGTTCATTTTGGGGCACCAGTGGCTCTGGTAAAATCTGATTGGTTTCCTGGCTCAGAGAGCCTAAGTGTGTACCAGACACGTGCTGAAGGAAGTAAGTGCAGATGCCTTGTGTGGCTTTCTCAAGTGGGCAGTAGAAAGGGATTTCTTTAGAAATCACAGCACTGGGAGTCATTCTTTTCTTTTTAACCTCTAGGTCATTTGGTGTCTGCACACTAAAAACAAGAAGAGGTTAAAGTCACAAGGAAAGAATTGCAAAAAACTAGCCAAGAATCTCCTTAAAGAGCCAGAAAACCGTAACAATTTTTGCCTCTGGAAGCAGTATGCACATCTGGAGTGGTTGCTTGGCAACACAGAGGACGCCAGAAAAGTGTTCGATACAGCGCTCAGTATGGCAGGGAACAAAGATCACGAACTCTGTGAGCTCAGCCTGCTCTATGCTGAACTGGAGGTGGAGCTGTGTCCAGACCTGAGAAGGGCCACCGCAGCCCGAGCTGTTCATGTATTGACCAGACTGACTGAGAACGGCCCCTGTGGGCCCTACACCGAGCCCGTGTTGGCCATTCACATTCTGAAAGCTCGGAAGGCTTATGAACACGCTCTGCAGGACTGTTGGGGTGAGAGCCACATCTCCGATCCAGCTGCCCTTAGCCGCCTGATCAGCTTGGCCAAATGCTTTATGCTCTTCCAGTATTTGACTGTCGGGATCGAGGCTGCTGTGCGCGTATACGAGCAGGTATCTGTGAAACTGAAGGGCCCTGTTTCCCCCGCAGGCCCTGGCCTGGAGGAAGGTGCCAGCCCCCAGAGCCTGGGCGGTGCTCTCGAGGCCGTCACGCTGATGCACACGAGCCTGCTCAGATTCCACACCAGAGTCAGTGTCTGCCCTCTGGCTCCCCTGCGAGAGGCGCTCTCCCAGGCTTTAAAGTTGTACCCGGACAACCACGTTCTGTGGAGGTCATATGTACAGGTTCAGAGTAAGTCCCACGATGCCAGTAAGACCAGAAGATTCTTCGATGCCATCACTAGGGCTACGAAATCCTTGGAGCCTTGGCTGTTTGCAATTGAAGCTGAGAAAATGAGAAAAAGACTGGTGGAAACGGTTCAGAGGTAATGACAGACCATCTCGTTCATGTGTCTGCTGTGTTTACGGAATGCTTGTCTTGTGCTCCCACCCTGCTAGGCCTCAAGAGTCCAGATATGAATATGAGCTGGTGCCTGGCACACATGCTGTGGGTGTTTGGGGTTTTATAGGATAACATATTGAAAGAGGAACAAGACACTTGCAGGTAGCAGCATCTTGCAGGTAGCAGCATCTCACGTAGAGGCTTCTGTGGCTCTCTTCCTCCTAGGCCATGCCTTTTGGGATCCTGCACGGGTGGTGGCTGCCAGGCCTTCAGGTGTCTGTACAGTAGAAGCATCATGCTCTGGAGCTGGACTTGGGACTCAAATCCCAGACCTTCACTTACCAGCCGTGTTACCTTGGACAAGTCACTTCACCTCTCTGTAGGTTCCCGAGAAGCAAGGAGTTGGGATGTGACTGTTAAGCAGACTGAGCTTGGTGTAGAAGCCACAGAACCCAGGGCACTGCCTCCCTAGGGCGTTGGAGGAGCCACATCACATCTGCACTCCGCACGCCCAGCGCCCAGAGACCGGAGGGCCAGCACTGCCTCGGACACGCTCTGACATCTGTTATCACGAACGTGTCCCTTCCTCTGCGATGTTGGGGGCTTGAATCAGAGTTTCACGGGCCTTTGTCTTGCAGGGTAGATGGCAGAGAGGTCCATGCCACAATTCCTGAGACTGGCTTGACACATCGGATCAAAGCCCTGTTTGAAAACGCGATACGGAGCGACAGTGGCAGCCAGTGCCCCTTACTATGGAGGATGTATTTGAATTTTTTGGTAAGAAGATACTTAAAGAGTTTTTGTTTTTATGCAGCATTCTGTGTCTTCCTTCATGAGTGAGAAAGCGCAGGTGTCCAGCAGCCACTGCCCTCAGAGCCAGGCATCAGGAAGGTGCAGGCTGCGGGGCCCGCAGCCTCCCATGTTGGGAGAGAATTATCCACCCGGCTCAGGTCTGGGCAGCTGGCCCGCAGCACGAGGGCTCTCCGTACTCATGTCATGTGTTCACGAGGCCCCATGTGCTGAGTCCTTCGTGTGTGTGAGGCTCATTCCCGGGTTTGGTTCTGGAGACGTTAGCGGAATCGGAGGCTGACTCAGCGCCCGCTCCCAGCAGCTCCGCTCCTTCGTTAGCTGTACCTTCAGTTCTGCGCATGGGCCCAGTGGGTGCGCTGGGACGCTCCCTGTCTGCCTGAGGAGACACGCTTTCACCCAGTCACCAAAATGGGGGGTTAACGGGGTGCCATGGGAGTTGCCCACTGGGTAGATTTCAGCCCTGACAGGGGGATTTTATAAGGACTCCTGGTTTGTGAAGATGAGGATATTTAGAAGGTGAGGAAGGACGTAGAGAGTGGGTAGTGGCTCGCGACCTTTTCTTCCCATTTGAGGTTCTGCTGTAGTGAGACGGGAAAGATATCTATGAGGCCATGTCTTAGAATGTGAAATCCTGAGGGGAAAAAACCAACGGTCACCACCAAGCTTTCACTTGGCGTTGAACCCTGCTGTACCTGGTACAGCTAGGGTGTCTTCTGGTGGCCAATTGATAATCTCAGAGAGCAGCTCTCTTTTGAGGCTGGCCAGCTGAACCTGGACATGCTGGGTTCCAGGATTATCTGTCTCACAGATACAGTGGTTGAGAAAGTACAGTGATACAACCTTTTTCTTCTTCCAAAAACAAGGGCAAAGTCCTAAGTTTCATCAGTATTTTCGGAGAGGACGTGGAAGTGTTTTGGTGTGCGAAGAAAGGACAGCTCACACTGGCTCCTGGGCTGTCAATTCAGAGGTCTGGCCTCAGGGGAGACAGGAGGCCCCCGGCCATGACACTGGCCTGAGTGGCAGGCACTTGGGGGACGTGGGGAAAGCCTGAGGCTTGTCTGAAACAAGGTTATTGCGTGCCGGTTACAGCCCAAAGTGACAGTCTTGGTGACTGTGGGCGTTAACTTGAAAAAATGGAAAAGGAAGTGAGGCTGACCTTGGTGGGTGGCGCTCCGGAGCCATGGATTGGCGCCTCTGCCGCCATTGCCAGGGTTCCTGGTTGGCCAACAGCTCTCACTGGTCCCATGCTGGATGCCGAGCACCAGCCATCTGGTGGAGACCTGGCATCCACAAGAAGGTTCTCCTGTGGCAACGGGAAGTCTGGAGAAGGTGGGTGGGTGGGAAGCCCAGGAACAGACTTCAGCTCCGTGAGCTCGGCTTGTGCTAACAGCTGCGGACACCAGGCAGCCTGGGGAGCTGCCCGGGTGGGTGGGCTGCGAGTGCCTGAAGGGGCCACCAAGTGCCCCATCCCTTCCTGAGACTTGGGAGAGGCCCCAGTGGGCACCAGCTTCCACAGCAGGCGTGGGAAGAGCACATGTCTGAGTTGAGACTAAGGATTTTATACCTAGAGAGAAAACCTGCTGAGTATCGCTGCACACTCTCAGACTGAGTCCTGACCGAAAGTGTACTTTCAGTGTTACAGATTCCGGAGTCCTGGTTCTCTCATTTCTCTAAGATAGTTCTCAGGAAATGGCAAGTGTTGAAGTATTTTGTTCTTTATAAAGTCATCATCCTTATCGCACACGTGACCTTGGCCCAGGCACTGTTAGTAGTGGAAGGCGGGAGGGCCCATGGGAGAGGAGGACATCAGACCAGCCCGAAGCGGCAGAGGTGCACACTCTGGCCCGTTGGTGGAGGGAACCAGCCCACACAGCAGTGGCCCCGACAGCGTCCCGTTGTACTTAGACACCCAGTAGCCATGGTGACAGTGCCAGGCTGTCCCCACAGGCTGACTGTAGCCGAGGAGCCACCGTGTGGGTCAGTACAGGGGTGGTTTCTATAGCCTTAGCCTCGTTTCAATTAATGACGTTTGTTTTTTTTCCCCTCCTCACCTGAGGTTTCCTTAGGAAATAAAGAAAGAAGCAAAGGGGTGTTCTACAAAGCACTGCAGAACTGTCCTTGGGCAAAGGTAAGCTCTAAAGGCCATGGCACCTTCAGATTTCCCAGGACCTTGCGGCCAAGTGTCAGCCCAGCCAGTGTCTGGCTGGCCTGTAGCCATGTCATCGGGGACAGGGCACATCCCAGGCCTTTTCCTTAGTGAAGCTGTCCCCCGTGGAGCCTGACCTGTGGGCATTTGTTTCCTTTACCTGCACTGGAGCTGGTGTTTCCTGGCAGTGTTGCTGCTGGCAGCTGATTGCCCAACATTTGCCCAGAGTTCAGCCCAGATGCTGAATGGCCGGATCTATGTCCTAAGTCTGCCTTGCAGAGCCCAGGTCAGATGTTCAGAAATGAAATCAATGGCGACTGCAGTTTCTGCCAGCAACTTCTGATCCCACTTTGGAAAGAGGCGGCCTCAAGTGGAGGTCACTGACTTCCGCTCTACCTTTGAGTTCAGTCCTTCCTGAAGCGTGTGGAGTTAGGACAGCAGAGGGGAGTGCGGGCTGTGGAGGGGCAGCAGGAGAGCGGGCGCTGGGACCAGGAGTGGCTGGCTGACTGGGGCGTGGCCCCCCTGCACTAGGTGTTGTACATGGACGCCGTGGAGTACTTCCCCGATGAGATGCAGGAGGTCCTGGACCTGATGACCGAGAAGGAACTCCGAGTGCGCCTGCCCCTGGAGGAGCTGGAGCTTCTGCTGGAGGACTAGGGACCGAGGCTGTCGCCTGCCCTGTGGGAGCCAGGATGAGCAAGAGACAGGTGACACGTGCGTGTGAGCGTGTGTTAGCAGACTCTTGCTTTTCAAGTTTCTTTCTAGATAGTGTGTGTCTGGGTTATCACTCTCTCACCTCCTGCATTTTTTGGATGTGCAAATGACACAAAAGCTATCATTTTACATATTATATATGTGACTGTGTATATATGTACATAAACAAGAATCAGGCCAAGTATAACTGAACCTATTGTGGTTGGTGTGTTCTGCTCTCCCTCTGCCTACCCAGCGCCAGCCCCACCCCACTGTGGTGAATGTACCCACCCTGAGGCATCCTTGGTGGTCCTGCGAGTCTTTTGGGTTTTGCAGATATGAAAGGTCTGGTTACTCAATACCAGGAGTTCCTCCCCTGGGCTGGTTAGTAGGGGAGCAGATTTTGCTCTTCCAACCAGAACAGTGGGGAGTCATTTAAAACTTGGTGTCCTGTCCTGTATCAGCTGCATTTAGTTTCTTGTTATTCCCTAAGCCTTAGTCTGTGATGCCCGTCTGTGGACCAGCAGCATCACCTATGAGCTTGTTAGAAATGCACTCAGGCCCCACCCTGCAGAATCAAAATCTGCACTCAGACAGGCCCCTTGGGGGCTTGTGTGCACGTGAGTGTGGAGAGCACTGCCTGAAGACACAAGGTCTGTCACGGGAGCCCGCCAGCGACCCCCGCCCGCTGCTTCCCACCAGAGCCAGCCCTGCCTGAGATGCGCCAGAGGTACGCGTCCACGTGGTGTGCGCATCAGTGCTAAGAGGGGACGGCCCCGACTGCCACGTTCTTGTTTTGATTTCTCAGGGCTGTCCTGCTTCACTCTGGATTTAAAAAATCATGATCTGTAGTCGAAGAAAAATGTCTTTGGCGCCTCATCCAGAGAAGCCAATGTTGTGGAATAGGATTCTGGCTAGAAACTGATGGACACTGGGAAGAGGAGGGAAGGCGACACCACTGGAGCACCCAAGGAAGTGGGCCAGCCAAGTGGACGCCTGCTTCCCACTCACTGGCTTAAGACTAAACTTCAGAAAGGAAAGTGCAAGAAACAGATGGAGAAAAGGGGCGGGGCTCTGGCACATTGTGGGTGCTCTTGAGGAAGATGAAGTTTCTGAACTCAAGAACAAGGACAGGCAGGGCTGGCACGAGATTCTGCATCCCTGACCTTTGGCGATTTCCTTTAGGAAACCTGTCTCAGCAGCACCGATATTCTTTCCTGTCCCCGAGTGCTGAGAACGCACAGCCCCCCAGACCTTCCAGAAGGGAAAGCTGTTTCCTTCTGAAGCCACAGCCAGACGAGCTCCGTGTTTGTTGCTTAAAGAACAAAGATGGCTGCCTGTGGTTAAGATTCATCTTTCCCATCAGCTGCTGCTGCACAACTCTACCGCCAGCCCTGGGGCAACAGACATTGAAGGCTGCACTCATCACCTAGACGCTTCCCTGACTCCCCATCGCCCACTTACTAGGGCTGAGTGGCGGGTGTGGAGGCTCCAGAAACGGACGACCTGCTTGAGAAAGGGCGCGCTTTATTGGGGGGAGAGCACTACACATGGTTTTCAGAAAGGTACACAGTCAGTACACAGGAGGTTTTGGTAATGAAGATCAGGTGGGGCGTGGGTTCCTCTGGGCACCTTCCCCAGCCCATCCCTCTAAGGGCTCGGGCACCCCAGCCATTTCCTTGAAGGCAACTGTGGTTCGCTAGAGATAGAGCCCCTCAGGGGTGCCTTCCTGTTTTTTATAAAGAACATTTTCTTTAGATTTTTTGAAGTCTTCATTTGTTACTTTCATTCTACGTTCTCTCAAGGCCATCAAACCAGCTTCTGTACAGATTGCCTGTGAGAAAGAGAAATACTTATTTTTATTTACTAATTCAGAGCTATTGTAAGACACTCAGGTTAAACACAAATTACTCAAATCTACTTGGGAAAAGATTAGATTTTTAAAAACGTTTTAAGCATTCTAATTATTTTCTCAAAGACTCTGAGGTGGCTTTGACTGGAGTAACTAAAGAAGAGGACTGGCCAGGAATGGAGGTCCTGGGTTCTAGTACTGGCTCAGGTGCGAGCCAGCTGTGTGGCCAGGCAGGTAAGGATGTTTTCACAGCTCCACTTCCGTTAAAGGAAGTAATATTTCTAGGAAATAAATGAAATTATGCTCAGAAATTTAGAGATAACATAGAGTGTACATCCATTTCATTTACTTATAGTCAGAAGAAACCACGTACTCTGGTTATATACTGTAAGTTACAGTACAGTATTCATTCTTATGTATTTATTTTCTCATTACTCACCAAAAGTAAAACAAAGCAAGAACCCATGCACCTGTGATAAAACCACAATGCTGGCCCTGAAGCTTCTATTTGGTTATGGCCATCAGGATGTTTATTTCAAATGGTTCAGCAGGAAAGAGTGCGCACAGAAAGATAAACGGGCAAAATGGTAACACTTGGTAAAGCAAGGTGGTGGGTCTATGGGTGTTTACTGTTGCAACTTTTATGAAGGCTTGAAATTTTTCAAAGTAAAAAAGTGCAAAACTAATTTCAATTAAAAAAAATTCCTTCCCAACTAAGGCACTAATGATGCCAACAATATGCAGTTCAGCCCCATCCCATCCCTACATTTATGCCTGCCGGAAACCCAGGTCTTCCCATAAAAAGCAGGCTGTCCCTGTATTCAGTGCTGCCAGGCCTTGCCCTGAACTCCAGTCATCTGGGAGGAAACATCCTAACTCATATGTATGTGATAAACCAAGAGGTCCAGTCCAGTCCGTGTTCTCACCTTGATGTCAGCACCAGAGAGGTCATCTTTAGCCATGATCAAGTCATCCAGTGTCACGTCATCAGCCAGCGTCATTCTGCTTGTGTGGATCTGAAAGATGCGCTTCTTGGTCTTTTCGTCGGGCAGCGGGAACTCGATCTTCCTGTCGATGCGGCCTGCAGGGAAAAGGTTCTCAGTCCCAGCCCTCTGCAGCCAACCCAGGCTCTGCCTCCTCATCAGGGAGAGGCCTCAGCCCATCTCCTCACAGTGCACTTTCAGTCAGTGTCCTTTGGGAAGGAAGTCCAAATCTTAAAAAAGTGAGCATTCATCTTGGTAGTTTGTAAATGTCTACATTTGAATTCATCCCATTTAAAAGAAATCCTCTCTGCTACTTTCAGAAACAAAGGAACAGTTCCTGAATGGCACGTTTAGTGCAAAATGACAGATCAATCCTGTTAAAAACATTATGAAAGCGAGTAAACAAATGAGCTACTGCTGCTTTTGGTGCTACCTGAATGTAAAAAAATGAACCTGAACTATCAGATGAATTCTTTCTTCAGAAACAAGTTCTTGAGGCTTAAAAGGGAGTACTTGGGAAAGAAAAGATCTTAAGATTGGAATTCAAAGTGCCGAGCTGCACAAATTACATCCCGCTCTTAATTCTTAATTATAACTGAATGGGACATAATTTTGGTAAGTTAAGTTTCAATGCAATGTTTGCCTTTCTATGTTTTTATAATCCCCCCAAAGGACACTTAATTTTTACACAAATACATATAAATGCATTGATACTCCATGATGAAACAAAAGCAAATTTGACCTGGTCTGATAAGTGCTGGATCCAAAGTTTCTATTCGGTTTGTAGCCATGATCACTTTCACATCTCCCCTTGAATCAAATCCATCCAACTGGTTCAACAGTTCCAACATTGTTCGCTGAATTTCTCTCTCACCACCGGAATTTGAGTCATATCTTTGGAAAAGAAACAAGGAATGAAGACCCAGGTGATCTCCTGCTAAAGGGGAATTACAACAAAACACCTCAACATTCTTGTCCAATCCATATGTCACATCCTCAGTTATTCTAGCAAAAAAAAAGCATCAGCATACCCTCCCAATGGCCAAGTTACACATCACATTATTTTCTTTGTAGCAGTTTTCATGCCTGAAGTTACAGCATTTATTCTGTCTCCACATTGGTGTCCCCCAACCTGACCGTGAGTTCCTCGAGGGCAGAGCAGATGCTCAAGGCCCGGTTACTGACTGACCAAGCTCCACACATTCACCACTCCTGGGTACTTGTCACCCGGTACTTGGGAGAGCAGAGCATCCAGAGAGCCATCCATAGTAGGAACTGTGGCAAATCCACATGCAGGCCACACAGGGAGTGCCCAGCGAGCGCTCACTCTCAGAAGAGCTACGTGTTTTTTTCCCCGAAAGGATGCAAAACAGGTGAAAGAAAGTCTACCTTTTTGTCCCAATGGCATCGATTTCATCAATAAACACGATGGATGGTGCGTGTTCTTCAGCAACTCGAAACAGTTCCCGAACGAGTTTGGGCCCGTCGCCCAGGTACTTCTGAATAAGTTCAGAGCCAACCACTCTTAAGAAAGTGGCGGACGTCTGGTTTGCAACTGCTTTGGCTAATAAGGTTTTGCCTATTTTAGATGGAAAAAAGACAAAGGGAAAAAAAATCTCAAGTGCTGTTTTAACTTAAAAACTCTGTCATCACCACCTCAAATGGACATAAAAAACGGGCAATTCCTATGATGAAAAGGCATGCCACCACTCAGACTATCTAACATTCTCTTCTCCCAGTCCTTGCAGTGCAGACAATCCCCTGCACAGACCCTCTTGGGAACGTGGTTTCAAGTCACTCAGTCAAATGACTGCTTTTCCTTTGTAATTTACATAGCAGTGAACTGCTAAGTCCTGGACTGCACAAATTCCTCAGGTCCATTTATTGCCTACTGAGCCAAATACGTCTTATGTGTTTTTATCTTCATGCCATTTACTCATCCGGCATCATATTCAGTACCAATGGGCCAGGAGAATGACCTTCACCTGAACAGCATGGGATAGCTCTTAAGTCAGTGGTTCTGCACAATGGCTCTGATGCTTGACCATACTCCAGATGACTCTCAGAATCTTAAGGGATGGGACCAGGCCTCAGGATTCTTAAAGCTCCTAAGGCGATTCCAATGGATGGCCAAGCTTGAGCCCCTGATGTTATTTATTCTTATACACTATTTTTAACAGACATTACTCTTATAAACACCTGACCGTATTATGTTTTATAGCATTTATATCTAGTATGTTTGTGTACAGAACAGACCTTGGGAATTATAAATGCATTCACACTAAGGAGGCATTTTGGGGAAGAGTGCCCACTGCTGTTTTTTGTTGTAATCCTTACTGTTTTTAACACATTAACTCTGTGCAGTTTTCAAGT